ATGGTCACGCGTTATTGACAATAGCACAAGTGTGGAATATCGTTCATGCGACAACAACTGCTACTATCGATTTTATTCTTCGTTCATCGGAAATGAATACACTATATACCCGACATGTGTTTCATTCGATTCCTTCGAAAGCGACACCTAAGCAAAACCTGAAGAAACATCAAACATCCAATCGAAAACCGAGAATTCAATTGCCGAATGTGTCACCTGCACGGAAGCAACCGGTGATTCAACAGGCCATCTTTAGGAAATGTTAATTTAGTGTGAATACTTTTCTTCACAATAAACGCTCCGAAAGATTTAGTAGTTAAACGTTGAAATGTATGAATGCGAATCGAAGGATTGCACGTATCAACATCTCAGTTGACATTGTCACCCTGTAAGAGAAGCACACAATCAAGACTTGTTCGGAAGAAATTCGCTTTATCTTGGAAAGTATAAAAGAAACAAAGAAAGAAAGTAGAAAAAAAGGAACTTTTTCATCATTCTAAGTGAGTTAAGTTGGAAAGAAAAAAGCAACGTATAAATACTCCAGTTGTTCACAAGCTAGGCAGTCGTTTCATACACTACTTCGAAAACAGTAAAACTTTGAAAAAGTAAGTTGGAAAAAGTAATTGCGTGAGTTTTTAGACAATTCTTCGGCTGTTATGGTATATTCTAGAAAGAAAAGATGGCTGAAGAAGCACCACAAAATAATGGGACATGCGATTGTTGCGAATCTGGAGGATGGTGGTCATGGCAACCTGGAAACACGGAATGTGGCGGGTGTGGACATTCTTATAGTTCCCATAGTTGAACATGATGATTCAATAATCCCAAATCCACTATAACACTACATCCTTTTCCTTTTGATTAAATAAAGAATCTTCATCATTGTGACCACTATACTGGATTCCATATCATATACGAAGGATATAACACAAGACAAAGACGCGTTATGGTGAAACAAAAGAAATTGTTCATAGAACCATCATGTTTGGAAAGAGTGATGAATTACAATTTTTTTTTCTTCCTTCTCTAGACGACAAAGATGAGCCAAAATTAAAGAGCAAATATATACCACTGAGTTCAACACAGACAGGCATGAATATTAGCGGTAGTGTAATATTTTGAACTTCGACGATAACTAAGGGGACTTGCGTTATTTTGTAACAATGAATTTCAAGTGATAATATTTATTTTTGAGAAAGTTTTGAACAGCTAAAAGAAAAAAACCAAGAAGACTAAATAAATCACAGTTTTGCATTGAAAGTTGTTGTCACGCGGAGCCGATTGAGCGCTGCCGTTTTTCTCCTTGGCGTCGTTCTAGAAATGAAGAAATGAATAATCAATTATGCAGTACCATAAGATCATCTACAAACCAGCAGAAAACGGCTTCGATTCGCAGCAGGTACTCCAATCCAATTCTTTCTCTGGGCCATCAGTATGTAAAAAGCATTTAAGATGTAATTTGTTTTCATCAGGATTATTCTGAATATGTTCGTTGCTGTTTGCTTCTGTTCGATTAGATCTTTGGTTGACATGAGAGAGTACTGGATGCTCTGTGCGCAGAATAAAGTCTTTATTGAAAGGAATCAGTAGTGGATTGCGATCTTTTGTTGCACCCTTCGGATACATCAAATATAATTCCAATCTAAATAGGAAACTTCTATGCAGAGAAGTGGCATTAAAATGCAACTATTGTGGTCCCTCTCAGCAATTAATTTAACAGATTTTCATGGACGATTAAGCGAACCAGTCCGACATTAACTAACTGAGTTATGTTGTGATTCATACTTATCTGAAGCATTATACTTACTCTATTACAGTTATTTGTTTTCCTTCATATGTTATCTTTTTCAGCTGCTCCTTCTTGATTGGCAGAATAAAGGGATTATAAAATGATTTAATTTCCGAAAGTAAATCAACACTGCTTTTTGATAAGAACCCACGATGTGGGGCTAGGTAATAACGCAGCTCATTAGCAATACTTTCTGTCACAACTATTGCAACGACCAGGTTCACTGTCTTATCCTCTTCAATTAATGGTACGTAGGTGTCAGGTATCTAAGATAGATTCAAGGCAATGCTATATTAGAAATGACTGTAGAATTGAGTTTGACAGACCTGCAATAATGGATGCTTTTGAGCGTGTAGAATCCCTTTGTCACTTTGAAGCATTGTTAGATCATCGCTCAAATATTGAAATCGCTGATTTTCTTGAAGATCTGCAATAAACTTGAGTGGTGACTGTACAAACTTGTCTAACATAGCCTCGAAGTCGCTTCCAGAAAACGATGCGCCGGCTAAAAATATAATTAAAGTTGACTTTCATTCGATAAAAGTTGTAAAATATATGTGAATACCGTCAAATATATCTGGGTTGGCTATATCTTGCTTCAATAATTCACCTATAGTGTCTGTAAAATTAAGAAGCATTCAATGTAATGTTAAGAATTGTTACCTTCGTCTGAACCATCGTTCATCTGTTCACTGTCTGTTTGTATCAGTGGAGTCGCTGCGTGCTGGTCAATATTTTGAGTTACACCAGGTTGCACTACTAATAGAAATGACGTAGACCAAATACAAGTTTAAAAAGATAGAATATTCTCTTCATTCTGTTACCGCGCCGTACACTGGATTGCGCTTCTGATCGGACACCTTCTATCACGGTGAGTTTCACTATTTTCTTTGTTGATAAACAGTTTCGCCAAGAATGGACCTCTTGCAAATAACGATTAGTAAGAACAAGATCCATCTCGGCATCTTCATCGTAGATCATAACCGTGTATGATGAGTTTTCCGATATTTCTACACCACTCTTTATCAAAAGGTCACGAACATCATTGACTGTTGTTGTTGTAGAATCGCCGAAACCAAAACCTTTATAAGGTTTGCCATTATAATACACAATTGTCATTACTTCGCCCACAGGTGGCGGCAAACCGCTTGACATCGTTAGTTCTGTTAATCTTCTCGAATGAATAGCACTAATGATTTTGGTTTGCAGTTGATGGTTACCTATAACATTTCCGACTCCACATGGAAAAGAGACATTTTCTTTCCTAGTCTTTCCTCTACGCAAGCATATTTTTCATTTTCAATTTGATTCTTATTGGTTACTTGCGCAAACGCTTGAAAATGAATCGTAAAATAGAAAGGTAGTCAGCAAAAATTTTTATTTTTACTCTTATGCGAAGAAAAATATTTGTTGCGTTCTGTTTCTCTCTTCCTCTAAGTCGTCTCGTTTCGGACGAAAACAAGCATGTGCATTACTTTTTTGCTTTACCATTTTCCGACTCTTTTTTCACCACGTGTGCAAGGATGGAAAGAAAAACAACGCGAGTTGTGAGTGATATAAAATACCTACCAAAAATGTGAGTTTTCGACGTAAAAGACGTAAAAATGGCCTCATTCGATCTTGCTGTTCGTTTCAAACATTGGCAATATCTTCTGAATATTAATACCAATGAGACTCTTGACCAGCTCAAAAATCGAATCACGTCAATCTGCGGCATTGATCTTAATAGTGAAGAGTATTGTCTCGAGATTTTCGACGATTGTCTTGACCAATATGTAGTTTTCACTCAACGGTATTTGACTGAACTATACAAGGATTTAAGAACAACAGGAAACAGAAGATTCAACGCTCGACTCAGGTCAGATTATTCAGATGGTGAGTAAAGGATGCGAGAGTGAATGCTTGTTGATAAAACTATAACATTTGAAATCGTTTACTTCGCGAACTGCGCGACGTTTAGACTAGAATATTTGTTCTAACAAATCATTTATTATCACAGATGTGCTCGCACAAGTACCTGTTCCGTCTTCCAATTATACGATCGTTTGGCTGGATGAATATATCAGTAACCAGCAAGAGCACCAAATGCTCATACAAAAGTTCAATTTGGTATTAGATATTAAGAATGATGATTATTTATCTGCAGAATCATCGAATGAATTCGATAACTTAATGGTATGCGAAAGAAAGCGATGGAATGACACTTTACAGATCTTCGATAGTCCTGAAGAGTGTTACAGATTTATACGTACAAATGCCGAGCTGACATCCATCTTCTTCGTGACTTCTGGCAACCTCGGTCGTTCTATTATACCATCCCTAATTGACCAAGTACGCGGTGTGTACGTACTTCGTTCGGATGTAGAGGAGAATCTCGAATGGTTGTTCGATTATCTGGATTGTTCATGCAGTGTTTTATTCTTCGATCATGAGATCGATTTACTAGCACGTTTAGCTCGTGATATAGCAAACTCTTGTATAAAACAAGGCAGACAATTGCTGACAAAGAAGCAACTGATGCCAGCTTTCAATTCATTGTTTAATGCGGAAAAAGTGTTAATTCGTGCGCACATAATTGATGGAAAGAATATTGATATGCACTTGAGCGATACTTATCAAAAAATTCAACAAGTCACCAAACGAGTACCTGAAGAATTCGATTATTCGAAGCAGAATCATTTAATCCTATGGTTTGATGAAAATATTGCAGATCCAGAAGCTTATAGATCTCTCAAAAAAGCATTCTTGAGAAACATCGATTCGCACAATCAGAATCGTTCACCTGTTACCGACATGAATTACGATGATCTTATTCGTGAAAGAGATATTGTCCCAGTTATATTCATGGGAATACCATTTCTACTGCAAGCATCCGACAACGTTGAAACTTGTCTCACCATTCTTAATACACATCGAAATAAGCGTATATTCTTCATTATTTCGAAAAATATGGCCAGACGCATCTCATCATATATGGAGTCTCGATTTCGAACTGCCGCTAGGAACTCAGATACCAATCATCCATTTGTAAAAGTTTACATTGCCTCCGACAATATTGTACAGCAGATCAAGTGGATATCTGAGTACTCTGAGTATTTCATGACGTTCGAGCGAGATGAAGAGCTGTTGGAATCAATGAGACGCGATATTGCAAATTACTTTATCGGACAAAGTAAAGCATACCGTCAAGTGTATGACTTGGAGTTAGCCTTCTATTATCTTAAACAGGCTACGGAGATATGGTATCAGTATTACAACATGGACAAAGACAATTTTATGAATTCATCTACGATGCATACAGAGACATATAAAATTAATGAAATTAATAAATTAATCAAAGGAACAATGGTCTTAGTGTCTGATAATGGTCAAAACAATGCCATAGGAAATGCACCACACCCAATGGAAATTGATGAAGAAAATCTCACAAATATTGAGATTTTGTATTTGTATACTGACACAGCCAAGCGAGATGCGCAAATCAACAGCGCTATTGACTTTATATTCGGAGGACTTAACGCAGTGAAATATCCCGTCACAGAGTTCAATCAAGTCGAGCAATGTCTTAACCATATACAGACGAGGCAAAATAAGAGAATTGGTTTAATCCTACTACATGCTATAGGGAGAGACGAAGTAATGGTTTTAGAACGATTTGCCAATGTTGACTTTATATTTCAACTGGATGCAAAACTCCCATGGCTAAAAAAACACGCATTAACTTGTTTTTCATCATCGAAATTATTGATCATCCAACGACTTTGCGTGTGTCATGAACTACTGCATTCTGAGGTGAACTTTTGTGCTGCTTTGAACGAATCTACGGAATCGTCAGCGCAAGAATTTACTCAAGACAATCGTTCGCTAGTGCTATTTCAACTATTGATAGAAATCCTACTTCGTACTCCGATTACGGAAAGATGCAAAAATGATTTTATCGAATTGTCTCTCGAACAATATTCCAGTAACCTTGCAGATAGAAATGTCATAAATTCATTTGCCTCCACATTCAAACCTAACGGAGCAATTATGTGGTACACGATGAATTCGTTTGTTTATCGTACATTAAATCGAGCGCTTAGAGACAATAACCTTCGATCAATGTACAAGAGCCGCTATTTCATTTGTCATTTATATGACGAAATAAAAAAACGTTATACCGAAACTTGTGCGTTTATGAATTCTCAAATCTCTGTTTATCGAGGACGAATAATGTCTTCTGACGAGTTACGAATGCTACGGGCGAACACAAGCAAAGTCATTACTACAAAATGTTTCTTGTCAGCAACGTTCGACCAAAAAGTGGCCGTTGCTTTCTCAGGAATGGAAACAAAAGCAGCTAGCGGTATTTCTGTAATCTTTCGTCTGATCATCGATGCGTTTACAAATAGATCAGTATCATTTGCACCGATTCAGAACATGAGCGCAATGAAAGATGAAGCAGAAGTTTTGATTCTACCTGGAACGATATTTCAAGTCAAAAGTGTTGTTGAAAGAGAAGTACGTTCACACGCTCAGTCGAAGATCAATCTTAAACTAATCTATTTTCAGAAAAATGCGTTTGATGTGGTATTAATCCATACTCTTGAACAACAGCAGCTTGAAGAAAAGATTCGCCGTCCGAAAAGTATCTATTTAGACAGAGCACGAACAGTCACATCATTCGATGATTTCGAAGCATTGGTTAAAGAGGCTTCAAGTGAAATAAATGAGCAGGAACTGCTACTAACACCTACGATTCACAATAAAAATGAAAGTAAGTAAAGAAGGATGACAGCACAGTTAGCTCTCAATTGTTTTGTCTCGTAACATTTCGTTTCTCTATAATTTGTAGAACGCCTCACTAAAAAATATTCGTCGTCATTATCAATTTCCAGAGTAACATCGAAGCGTTTATGGAAAAATGTGTCGGAACTTCGATCGTCGAATACTCGCAGTGATGGTTCGATTATATTCATTGTTGATGAGACTCCCTTTGATGACGATAATGAGGATAGTGATTTGTTACTATCCAATAGTATTATTTGCCGCTTATTTCCACGTCAACATATTTATAAGCAATACGCTTTTAAAATTGCGATGTGTCTATCATCATCATATCCATTTTCCCCACCAACAGTGTATTTTCTTACTCCCATTTATCATCCAAATGTCGGGCAAAATGGTAAGTGACACTCGATCACCATACACTGATTCTATTACAAATTTTTCTATAGGAAATGTTTGTTTGGATATTCTTCAAAACAGTGAATCATGGAAGTTTAATACGTCGTTGGTCACTATTTTAATCTCTCTCGTCGACCTCATCGATACTCCTAATATAGACGAAGCATTGCGTACGAGTAAGTCTTCCAAAATGCCTTGCTTTTTTATATATTTAGATTTTCATCTATGGTTCATTTAGATATAGCGGTAGAATACATACAAGATAGAGCTGAATTCAATCGTAAAGCATTAGTAATGGCGAAAAAACACGCTTTACCTCGATAATTGACGAAGTATTTATGCGTATCAGTAGGTAACCGATCGAATGCGTCATTTAACGTGTCATCTACACATGTAATGCAGATACTGTTCGTTTTTTAATAAATATGTCAGCAGTTCATACTTCACGATCTTTAGTATTAAAAAGTCGTCAGATAATTCTCGTAAAAAACAGACAATGAAGCTGAGGTACATACCATAATAAACACTCTACTTATATACGATGCTACTGGCACTAATATTTACCAGACAATAAAGATAAAGTAACTATGTTATTCTATTCAGTAGTCGGACACATAAAATTCTTTCTCAGTTTACGTATTAGTGATAACGAAGAAATATACGTGTGTTCTGAAACATATATCGTGTAGAACGTCGAGTGATGTCATAATCCCGTTACACCCGGTATTCATCCAAAAGCAGACAATTCACTGCGTTACCATATGCAGCTGAGTCAGGGTATCCAACACGATACCCAAATAGAACTGTATCCTGGAAAGCTGAGGAATATGAGTGGATTTGGTGTATCCAACACGATACCCAAGTAGAACTGTATCCTGGAAAGCTGAGGAATATGAGTGGATTTGGTGTATCCAACACGATACCCAAGTGGAACTGTATCCTGAAAAGCTGAGGAATATGAGTGGATTTGGTGTATCCAGCCACCACCCTCACCCTCACCCACACCCACACCCTCACCCTCACCCCACCCCACACCCTCACCCACACTCACACCCTCACCTTCACCCTCACCCTCACCCACACCCTCACCTTCACTTACACCCTTCCCTTATTTGGGTATCGGTCGGA